CGGGTATCACAGAGCTCAGATTTTTTTTAATAGTCTTTTTCACAATCATTTTTTACTAACAAATTAGATGTTGGCCCTCTACGATATGCACGTGTTGTTTATGCTTCTCTGGTATTGTAACTGTCTGCCTCTTTCTGGAAATGTCTGATTGAATGCATTAGGCGCGTTCACACCAAGTACATTTCCCACAAAGGTTCCTGAGAACTCTTTAGTTCTCATGAACTAAGTACAGATCGCGTTCACACCGGAAATTAGCTCCTGGGGGTGGATTAGGCAAATGAAGCCGCTGACGTCACTTCTTCTTCTTCTGCTTTGGGTTTACTGGCAGGCCGCAAACAACTTCACGGCGTATACTGCCGCCCAAAATCCCCGGCCGGAAGTCCCCGGAGTTGGGGACTGGCTTCAGTAGAAGCTGCTGGGACTCACAGCAGCTTCTACTGAAGCCTTCCGAGTAAATCGCCAGAACGCCGACACCTCCTCATCTCCACCGCTCCCATGTTTTATTTTGTGTTGTCATAAGTTAGTCTCTCTGCGTTTCTGCGCTGGGCTAATGCTAATGCTAATAATGCAATGCGAGGATAATAAAATGGCGGCTTCACAAAAGTTTTTGGGAGTTTGACGGGGCGTGGTTTGCATTCCGCCCAGCCAATCAGACACAGGAACCTTTTTTTCCCACGAAAGTCCCTGCTCTCTAGCAGGGACTGAAAAGGGGGTAAAAAAGGTTCTCTAGAACTAATTTAGTTCCTGGGACTTTTTGGTGTGAACGCAACTAAATCGTAGTTCTCAGGAACCTTTGTGGGAAAAGTACTTGGTGTGAACGCGCCTATACTGTTATGTTGATGAATACATTGTGAATAAAACTGCTAATAAAATGAATAATGCAGCATATAATAATTACCATTTACATTTGTTTTCAGAAAAAAGACTTGCAGTATCTGTGAAGGTCTATTAATTCAACCTGTATTTATTCTGTGTCGTTCTTGAAAGAACCGAAGTGGTGATATGGTTCAGTTGAGCTCTAGGAATCTCTCTCCACCATTTTTCCTAGCAACATTGAGGCCAATAGGGTATTACAGGGAATCCTCTTAATGATATGGAAATACCAAATCCTCCCTCCTGTCTCTCAGACCCTTCTTGCACAATGGGGTGAGATTAAAGCACATAGCTGCTGCATTTTATTCTATGAATCACAGGTGTTTTTTATTTATTTAATACCATTATTTATGAATGCGTCATCACTTGTTGAAGCCTCCATTCATGCTGGCTCTGTTTGAGACACATGCTCAGAGTGTTGACCTAACGAACGGCCTTCTTTTTCCGCTCTGCAGTTTGATGTTATTTGCCAAGATCTGTGAAAAGACTGTGCTGAAACGAGTCCTCAAAGAGCTTTGGAAAATCGTGCTGAACATCATCGAGATAACAATAGTTCTTCCTCCTCTGAATGACCAGAGCGTGAGTTGGATCAATTATCTGTCTCCTTCGTTTCTCCACCTCCCTCCTCTTCTCCGCCTGTCTCTTTTTCGATTTCCTCCATCTGTTCAGCTCCCCCTCATAACACACACATTACTGAACATGAGATGAAACAACATGGCATCTCTAAATCTTCACACACATGGGGAGAATTGTTAATCCTTGTCTAAAATACGTGTTTGGAAAATCACATTTACTGTTTTTTTAAGTTATCGATGGACATATGAAAGTGCAATTCACGTCAAGCGGTCTTCAAACATTTTTGTTTGTTGGAGCTTCCAAAAAAAAATGAAAACACAATAACTGTAATAACTGGTGGCGAAGTCGATAGGGAGTTGGAGGCTTGGTAACTGGAAGGTCACCAGTTCAATCCCGGCAAGACCAAGTGCTACCGAGGTGACCCTGAGCAAGGCACCGCTCCCTACACTGCTCCCCGGGCGCCGTTCAAAATGGCAGCCCACTGCTCCTAACACTAGGATGGGTCAAATGCAGAGAAACCATTTCCCCACGAGGGATTAATAAAAGTCCATCTTATCTTATCTTAACTGCATGTTGAGAATTTTAACCCTTCATCTTCACTTGCTTTATATTTTATAATCCTAATCTATACAGTCATTTCAAATGTAATCTATTCCTTGTGTAATGATTTATCTGTCTGTCCAACAGCAAGGAGCTCAGATGATCTTCAATGCTGCCAAGGACTTGGGACAGCTGTCCAAACTGAAGGTAATTGTTGGAGAAACCCAAGGCGTGTTTTGCTAATCTTAGCTAAGCTAAACCCACTCATTGTTATCTCAGTAAACCATGACATCTCTAATTTGGCTGAACATTATGTACTATATTGTAAACTTCATATAAGATGAATTATCAGATAATACAGCTCCACATAAACGCAACGCAATACACTTTCTCAGGAGCCCATTTGGTAGAAATGTAACTAAATATCAGCATTAATCACATCATGATAACTTCCAAGAGTTTAAAAAAAAAATCTTTCTGTAATTATTCATTAAAAGTATTTAATAGGAAATAAAATGATCCGTTGGCTGCAGTTATTAATGCATATGGATTTCATCTACAAATGTGTATAGATGGGTTATGTCATTTGGAAGCATCATTATGTGATCCAATCCAATCCACTTTATTTGTATAGCACATAATGAAAACAGAGGGTTTACCAAAGTGCGTCACACCAAACAGAACATTATAATAAAATATAATATTACAATAATAGATAAAAGGCACACGTAAGAATTAATACAAGGCACACAAAGGCTATGGACAGACAATAAAAGCATACAAATCGATAAAACAGCTCAGACTGACTCGAAAGCGAGGGAAAAGAGGTGGGTCTTTAGGCGAGACTTAAAAGTTTGAAGGGTGGGCGACAATTTGACATGGGGGGGCAGGTCGTTCCAGAGCCTGGGGGCTACCGCTGAGAAGGCTCGGTCTCCCCTGGTCTTTTTCTTGGTTTTAGGCCTACCAGCCGCAGCTGATTAGCCCTTGAGGGGGTCGGAGATTTACTGAGGGGCCAGCCCATTAAGCCATTTAAAAACAGACAATAACATCTTAAAATGAACTCTAAAATGGAAAGGAAGCCAGGAGGGAAGCCAGTGGAGGGAAGCCAGAATAGGTGTGGTGTGTCCATGCTTGCGTGTTCCTGTAAGCAGCCGAGCCGCAGCGTTTTGTACCAGCTGCAGGACATGCCAGCGAGGTCTTGTTTAGGCCAGCATAAAGTGCATTACAATAACAACTGGACTCAACCAAAGAGTTTATCTGTTTAAAAACACTGTCGATTTTGANCTTAATAATTCTTGAATATAGTGTGATCTACGACTAGTTTTACTAATGTCTTTTCGTCACGTCGGTAATAAAAGGTACAGAAAGAAAACGTCTACCTTACTGGAGAATTGCTGTAATTTGTTAAAACTTGTGAGAAATTGTGGAATTTACTTGAACCTTGACGATTACAGACTAAACAAGGCTGTTATGACACGGAAGTGGTAAGTATTGTTCTTAGATTACACACACCAGAGTCCACAACAGCGCCGACTATCCAGCCAACTCGTAGTACTTTTACGAGGTCGACTGCCGGTACAGCGGGACTTGACAAAAGTTGGCCTGGAGTTTTGGGTTGTCGACTTGCGGGCGGCCAGCGAGACAACTACTACGAACACTAAGCGACGCCTACTCTACGCGCTACCCGGACGAGCCCACTATCATAGCTTCGTCTCTCACTCGTTGGACCTTCCACAACAACAAACTGACCTACAACCAACACCTCCGTACACCTCTCCTATCTATCACGATCACATCACACCTCCCACACCCACGTACTACACACTGTTCGTACGCCAAATCGCATTATCTCTACCACTTCTTCCATGAGTCCCACACCTCATGACCGCGACAAACATTTTTTAATGAGACCACTTTCTCTTCCACTGATTTGAATAAAAGAGTTCAGCTTCATTTCTCCGACCTTTACAGAAGGGTCACTATCCTCATGAAGCATCACCACACAATGACTCATCCCAAACATTTCTCATGGACTGGGAGGGAAATATAATTATCTTGTTATTGTAAGGTAACAATCCGATTACTTCACAAACGGTACGACTTTGTGGCCCCGACATCTTACAGGACCACGTCTAACAGCAAACTCTCAAGGTAACCAGCGGCACAGAAGAAATCTCTTTCTGGTCTTTACTACCTATGTGCCTAGCACAAGTTTAGTTATCCGTGCGTATACTTGTTTATTATTACTAGGCGGGGTTTCGTCGTAAGTCTGATTCCTGGTCGACAAACCTTTACTCTCTTCATCTTTGATGTCGCATAAACCAGTTGTACATTTCGACCATCTTTCATGTCCCAAAAACTCAAGTTGTACATTCTACCACACACACACTATATGAACATTCATATGCAGTCTACTTAACCACAGAGCGCACACACAAATGTCGATTTAAAAACGATTAATCGTTCAGCCCTAATGCAGAGCACACAGCACACACAGTGAAATGTGTTCTCTGCTTTTAACCAATCCTAGTACCAGGAGTCTAGTACTAGGAGCAGTGGGTAGCTAGTGTACACCGCCCAGGGAGCAATGGGAGTGAGGGGGAGTGAGGGGGGTGTCCGGGGCCTTGCTCAAGGGCACCACGGCAGGGCAGGAGGTGAACTGGGACCTCTCCAAGTAGCAGTCCACTCTCCATATTTAGGTCTGTTCGGGGACTTGAACCGGCGACCCTACACAGTTGACAGTAAAACACCACAAAGTCACTCACTTAAAACACAACCTGATCTTCATCCTCCAAAAAGATCAGAAGATGAGGCTCAATAAAGTCGATTAAGTATTCAAACAAATATAAAATGTATTATGTTGTGTGTCTGTGTCGTAGGTCCAATCCAATCCACTTTATTTATATAGAACATATATAAAAGGCACATAAGGGCTGTGGACAGACAAATAAAAGCATAAAAATCGATAAAACAGCTCAAACTGACTCGAAAGAGAGGGAAAAGAGGTGGGTCTTCAGGCGGGACTTAAAAGTTTGAAGGGTGGGCAACAATTTGACATGGGGGGGCAGGTCGTTCCAGAGCCTGGGGGCTACCGCTGAGAAGGCTCGGTCTCCCCTGGTCTTTTTCTAGGTTTTAGGGACTACCAGCAGCAGCTGATCAGCCGACCTCAAAGCCCTTCAGGGGGTGTACACCTTTAGGAGGTCGGAGATGTGCTGAGGGGCCAGCCCATTAAGCGATTTAAAAACAAACAATAACATCTTAAAATGAACAGGAAGCCAGTGGAGGGAAGCCAGAATTAGGGTGATGTGCTCATGCTTGCGTGTTCCTGTAAGCAGCCGAGCCGCAGTGTTTTGTACCAGCTGCAGGCGTGCCAGCGAGGTCTTGTTTAGGCCGGCATAAAGTGCATTACAGTCATCTAGATGAGTAAAAACAAAGGCATGAGTAACACGCTCAAAGTCTAAAAAGGATAAAAACCGGTTTAATTTTGGACAGGAGCCTCAAGTGATAAAACAAGCTACACCTAACAGTGACCAAATACCTGAAAAACTAAAATAATCTAGCCCTCACTTTCATCAGTCATGAAGTATTAGTTTAAAATGGGTATCAATAATACAAACAGACGTATGATAAGAGGAAAATAATGGTACAAATTCAGAGAAGAGGTTGTTTAGAAGTTACCAACCATTTAGTGCATTCATATTTGATCAACGACTGCAACCCAGAACAAGGGGGGAAAAGTGTTGTTAAGGTCAGACAGTCTTATATTTTGTGCTTGAGCAACACACAGTGGAATTCGCATTTCAGACCAAATAACACTTACTTTGCCATTTTGTCTCGCACTCTGCTAGCAAACAGAGGAGGGCATTTCTTTTCCTCCTCTGTGGGGATATGTGTCGGCAGGAACTTAAAAAAAAAGAACGAACAGACAAAAAAGGTCACAGGGAAGGTCAAGCAGAAAAATCAAATCCTAAACCTTTGAATGAAAGCCAAATCTAAAAACACACATTGTGCTTACTTTGATGTAGTATATAAGTCACAGCATAGAGATTAAGGTCACATACTTGTATAGTAAATTCAATGACAGAGATAACCTGATTCTACCAGTAAATAACAAGATGAAAACATTACATAATATCTTAATTTACAGATTTTTACAATATTAAAAACGACCCAAAAGAGCATGTGGTTTATTAAACTTATATACAATTAGATATATTATATTAGGATGCACATTTGAGGAATGTTTGTTACCTCTATCTCTACTGTGGTGTACAGCTGGCTCAGAGTTAGCAGCAGCAGCGTTTTCCTGCATGACACAAGCAGGACAGTTGGTTACAGTAGTGGCAATACAAAGCAATAGTGTTTGTTGCTGAGTTAGAATTGTGTGTTTTGCCAAGAGTACTGGCATGCACCACTTTCAGGGAACATGCATACTATAGGTGAAACATGAGAAACTGTAGAAAGCACACTCACGAGCTGAAACCCTGCCAAGTCCAAGACACTGTGTCCTGCAGGGAAGCATACATAAAGCTTCATTAAACATTTACACTGAAAAACAATGGTATACATGATGTTGTGTGGTACAGCTGAGTTTATAGTGTAGGTAAACATTATGAGATTATGTCAACAAAGTTACCTCAAATATGTGAAAATTCAGCTGGTAATCCATGTACAATTGCTTGGATGGACATAAACTGACTATTAATACTGTGAGCGTGTGAACTGCACCCCAACAGGAAGCATTTTCTCTTTGGCTCTGCATTTATATAATTATCTTCCAACTACCCTATTTGCAAATGATTACATTGTTGCTATGAATTTGGCTCGGAAAATCTAATTAAGCAATAGCTCACGACAGGCCGTGGTGTATGCTCATTATATCACAGCTAAGGGGCGTGGTTCGGCCCGACGCGAAGGATGCAGTTTGCTTTTCAGCCCAACTGTATACAGTTAAATCNAGCTCACGACAGGCCGTGGTGTATGCTCATTATATCACAGCTAAGGGGCGTGGTTCGGGTGTGCTAGTGGATCGCCGGAGCTGTATTAGATTAACATTAACATGCTTATTGTAGTTCTATGTGCACTGCGGCCTGTAGAACCATCCTTGATGGAGCATATGTGTGGGCTGGACCTGTATTTTACAGTAAATGAGTGAGCAGAGGTTCGAGTTGTCGATTCTTGTTCTGTTTTCTGTGACTATCTTCCTCACCTTCTTTAGACTTTCAGTTGCGCGCGCTACTAAAGAGACGCGCTACCATGGAAACCAAACAATGGTGTAGCTGTATTAAAGTCCGAGTGGAAACAGTCGTGAGTAAATCTGATTTTGTCAGAAATCGGGAGAAATATGACCACGGGAGGAAACCGGGAGAGGGCAATGAAATCGGGAGTCTCCCGCGAAAATCGGGAGGGTTGGCAATACGCTCAGTATATCACGGCTAAGAACCAATCAGATTGCTTGATTTGACTTGTCCGTTTTATAAGGTTGAATATATAATCGCTATTTTACAATCACGATCACATACCAGTTTGTTGGGATATCTCATAACCACAGGCTGCACAGGGACCCCTGGGATAAAGGCACCTGAAGGTGGGGAACACACGGTATGGATGAATTAATGGAGGCTTCTCATTATGACTCAATGAAAGCTGAATCGCAGTCATAACCACGGTTGTATGGGTATCAGTCAATACACAAACCATGTTGTATCGTGAATGAATGGAGCAGTGTAGTATCAAGTGTCATTTCTGTTAGTCTATCGGCTCAGTGTAGTGCAATTCAAGCTAACATGCTACATGTGCTATAGGCTACAAAAGAATCTAGTTTGTTTTATTCAAGATTCAAGGCTTGTATTGTCATTAGCTACAGTGTAGTTATGTCAATGAAAATCTTAGGTCACAGGCTCCTCCAACAGTGCAACACAATAAAACGGATAAAATAATGCAAGTAAATACAAATACGATTGAATATAATAGAAATAGTGCAAGAATAGTCTATAAGTAATTGAAATATGATTTATTAGAACAATTGTTTTTTTGTTTTAAGTTACAAACAGATGAATGTTATGGATGTTCTTTCAAAAGTTCAGGTGCTTAACAGTCTTATGGCCCGTGTTTATGTTGCATTTGCAAATGTTTCACCAAGTAAGGTCAGATAGGAATTGTATTGTTTACTCCGCACATGAAAGCTGTAGGCCTATAGCTGTCAAACTGTGATCACCAGTTCAATACATTTGACAAATTCGACTTGGTTTCTATACTTATTTGAACATGTATGTATTTATTTTCAAAAATTATTGAATTTTTTTTTGGGTAAAAATAAAAGAAAAATTTGGAATTATTTTTACCCCATTTTTTTTTTATAGGATATGTACATTTCGGTTAACCGGTTAACCGTTTTTCGGGGGGTCGAATATTCGAATATACATTTGCTTTCAAATTCCCATCCCTACATTACAGCACATGTATATCTTACCTTGTTTGAAAGTGATGAGACAGGAGCGATTTGTACATGTTCCCTCTGGAAATATCAGAACCTGAGGAACAAAACATAAGTTAATGTTAAGATCTTAAAATTTTATCAAGTTTTCAATGTAATGCTGCTGCAGATTTCAAAGGATGCTTTTGAAATAACAGTATTTAAATGGTATCTACTTTGTCTATCTCTCGTGTACAGTTTCAAAAGAAACATAGTTATCCTGTGGCGCTGCTCTTGGGGTTTTTCTAAGATGACAAGCTTAGAGTTGTCTCTTCAGCTATAATAAATGATTATACCAAATGAATATTAGAGGATGCTTTGTGTTGGTACACACCTGTGGCCAGTGTCCCAATGACTTGGCTCTGCTCTCGATTTCCTGGATTGTATTCTTCCTGGAGTCGGGGTCCTTCCTGGACACAAGCACCGGCTGAAGACAGCGCACTAACCCTGCAGAGAGAGCAAAACACACACACATTAACACATTTAACAGAGGAAAATGCTCTTGTCAATTCAATTAAACAAACTTAGAGGTGTCACTACTCTCAAAAACATTGATGTAATATTTAACAAGTGCATTCTCACCTTACAAAACACATAAGTAAATAATAGATAATATCTGATTGACAAGGATATGTTCCAATGGGATGTTTAAACTGAAAGGTATCTAATATATTATAATATAAGAACGTTGCATTGCATATGTAACAAAGCCTTCTGCAGTCAGATGTCTATAAGCGGTTTCACACTTCTGTATTTGTCACGTATTTTCACAAGTTCACACCATAGACTGTTTATTTAAAAAGGTTCACACCCAGCCTTTCCTGTAGCGAAAAAGCAAATCACATGCTAATCATCTTACTGCCAAAGATGGGTGTAGCCAGGTTCTCCAGTCGTGAGACGGTGGAGGGCATGCCTGCAACGATGCACACTATCCCATCGAAAAAGGTGGAGTGGGGGGCTACAGCCAGGATGGGGGCCTCACTGCTGTCCACCTGCCTGCCCTTGATCACCACTCTGAAGCCCATGCAGAAGTAGTATGCCCTCCCCAGGGCGGCCATCACTCGCCGACACATGATCCTGGAGATGAACGGAACATTTTGTATTATTTAATTTAAAAGGTCCCCTGTTATACTGTTTTTCATCAATATATTATAGGTCTCAGATATATACAAAACATGCCTCTGAAGTGTTTGGCTCCAAACACCAAACAGATCATTGCAGCATTACCCATAATCCCCTCTGTTTCAGCCCTGTTTCCAAAGTGCTGATTCTCTGTCTGTTACTTTAGATGAAAATAAGGAGCCCCTCCCCACGCCCCTCTGAGAGATATTTGGTTACAAAGAACACAATGGTGCTTTGGAGGGGAGGAGATTCAGGTGATGAGGGGGGGGGGGGTTACCTTGGTTGGTGATTGGCTAATGGTTACTCAAGCCAAAGCATCGTGATGACATCATAAAGTGGCCAAAATCTGATCAGCTCATTTTCAGACAGGTTTTTATAGAAATGGATCAGGACAAAAAGAGAGAGAATCTTTGTTCCTGAAAATGTCAGAATCTCTTTACACAGAGGGGACACATGTTGATGTAGAAGAGACATGAAAAAGTGGATATTTGCTTAATAGTTGACCTTCAAGGAATGATAAATGTGTAGCTCAAAAAGGCACTACTTTGTTTCACACTGGGATCAGCCATGTTACGTTGTTTCTGTGTTAATCATTATCACTTCCAGGGTTACTGTGTCACAGTGGGCAAAATGTCAGTTTCTTTGCTAACAAGATGTCTGAGCACAAGAGTTTTAGTAACAGGATGAGTTGCAACACTTTGTACTTCTCTTGCTGAGAGTCTTAGCATCTATCAGTAACTTCCTCATTATCTAGAGAAAGGATATTAAGTCATAGGATAAATTGACATCATAAGACAAAATGACAAATGGTGAACTGTAACTTTTAAAACGTTTTCCAAGAGAATACAAACCCATGACTTTTAAAAGCTGCTCATTGGTGTAGGAAGCTCAACGCAATGCAGATTTCAGAGCAGAAAGCTTCCCATTAACAGCACATTGACGTACCATCAGCTGATTAAGTTATAATGGGTACTTATAAATGCAGAAAGCTTAGAGCAACACAGAGCGGTGCAGGCTCTTATATGATTCAAAGAACAAACCATTAAAACATCAATTATTTGAACTTTCTAAGTTATCATTCAAAAAACAAATACTGATTCAAATAGTTACATTTGAGTATTTAGTCACTGTTTCCTTTCAGCGTAAAACATAAGCTTCAGTGTTTACCTCCCAACCCCCCGAGGAATATGGTAACAGTTAAGCAATAAGTAGGTGAGGAAGATAAGCTTCTCTCTTGTTTCCGCCACCAACACCATGTTTGGTCATAATCACAGAAAAAGCCTTAGTCTAAGGCCACAAGAATGTTAGAACGCCCCACTGTGTATACAACAGCTGCTATCTGCACAAGTGAAACGTTTAAAATCTCCTTCCCTGTTTAGTACTCAGAGGTAAAAATCTACAGTCTTACAACTAATCCTATCCAATATTTTACAAACGTATTTATCAATACAGAACTATGGTATTCCCCGCACAGAAGAATATATTCAGATACCATCTTAAAAAAGAATGGAGATCAACGATCTAACTGAAAGATCAGTTTAATTAATCCACCCAATAGTAATAACCATGGTGGTTTATGTTCATAAAGAGATAAATTACTCTTTCAGGTGCTTTTAGGGTGCCTCACCAATACCACTGGTTCTTTATTTTCTGAGAGCTGAGTGCAGATGTGATCAACTCAAACATGATTCAGCGATAATGCAAGCTGCTACACGTTCTTCCTGTCACGTCAGGAACTATTATTTTGAGAATATGCTGCAGCCCTGTGTTTCCTGTCCAGTTTATGAACCCAGCAAACACAATGCTTCTGCTACCTCTTGCTTTAGTGAAATGCACTGAACATGGCGGCTCACAGGCTATAGAAAAAAGCAAGTGTTAGTGGCCCTCTAACGTAATGTAAGCCTGAAGTATTCGGTTCTTGATTACAGTTTTTTGGTGCCAAATAAGAAGTAGTTTTTCGGGTTCAAGAACCGGCCCTGCTGCAAACAGGAATAACTGGTTCACATCAGGCACTTGCTCCGAACTGGTCCTGGAACCGGTTTGGTCGGAATGGGGTATCAGTGGGGGAAGTGTAATTTATGGGGACGAAATAATGGCTGCAAGGTTTGACTATGTATTTGCTTTGCAAACACAACATGTTTGCATGATACAGCACAGGTAAGTAAAACCGGACACTATAGCACAGGTAACTTTACGCATTAGGCCACACTGAATTTACTTAAGTAACCATGTGAATAAAAGAAACATTGTGTACGTAAACAAAACTGATGTCACAAAGGCAGCTCTACTGGTTTGCAATTCATACGTTTTTAGATGATTGAGTGAGTCATATATCATCATGCCAGCCTGGTGAGTGTGAAGGTGCCTGTGAGGTGTGTAGCTCTGTGGGAAGCTGTGTTACAGTCTGATGCTGTTTGTGTCCTAGTTACCGTCTCCATCCTGTCATTGGTTCGGCTCCTTTCACAGGATGGTTGAAGGTTATTATGAAAGCCACTGGCCATGTCACCATCAGAACCAGGGACACAAGGACAGCGCGAATAGGGACCAGGAAGATCCCCAGGAGGACACACTGCATGGAGAGGGGCACACACACATAATAAATCACAGGCCTATACGATAATCAGAGAAGACTGCTGCCAGGGTGGTTAACCACCCTATGGCTGTTTCATTTTTCACAGACGTATGCCTATGCACGAGTCCAGAATCCACATCACTGCACGGATTTCTAGAAAACACACAACGGCTCTCATTGTTTGTGCTTTACAAGCCGATTGTCAAAGCCTCATTGGAGAAGATTACAGGCCCTGGTTGCACAGCAGCCTGTGTGTGTGTGTAATCTCACACAGCATTGTGTGTGTTAGCCGTAAAGCGATGACTATATTCTACCAAATCTTGCCTTAACATGACCATTGATCTGAAACCACATACTCACTTTAGTTATAGCTGCTTTGGAGAGTTTGGTGTCTTGCACGAACGGGTTGATGACCGCAGGCAGCAGCAGGGACTGTTGCCTCGGCAGGGTGAAAACTCGCAGCGGCGGCATTGCAATCCAGAGAGCGAAGAAATAGGCAAATGCTTTAGTTGAAACGCCGTTATGTTATCATTTCACTTCCTCATCGGAGTGTTTCCTTTCACATTTATCCTCATATCAGACGATCCTATGGGCGACGGCGACCGCAGAGCAGCGGAACCAGACGGTCTCAGGCTCCGCCTCCAACGTGGTCGCAGCGGGGTCCGAGTCCCATCGAGAGTGTGTATTTTAAAGCCTGCAAGCGGATTTGCATCCATTTATACAATCTGTGAAACCTTATTATGGTGTGTGCAGGATGCTGTTAATGCATTTGACGTATTTATAAACCTGTATCACAATTCCGATGCTGCATAAAGACAAAATGGTGTGATGTCAGTCCCCATGCATGTGCTTTGTGCAACCGATTATGAATCAGATATGTATTTTGTATCAATATGTGCATAACATGTCCAACAATATATAAAAAAAAGTATTGCATCAGTGAAATGACGCCGATTTTAAAGGGAAAATGTGACATGTAAAAATGTTTGTTTACAAGATCTTATAAATGTCCACAAGATGGCGCAGTTTCATAAACAAATGTGTTTTGTTCTACCATAATGAAAGTCCTATAATGAAAAGTTGCCTTTTCACCATAGGCATCATTTTCATCACTTTTTGAAATGGCCAATTTTGTCCCCACTACTTTTCAAAAGTATAACTTATAAATGTTCTGAAAAATAGCGTGCACAGAGAAATGTAATAAACAATAACTCTGGTTTAGTTTCAAGATGTGCAATTTGGACATGTTAGTAAACTTTTAATAGAACATGCAAAATATAAAACATTGCTCCCACTTTGCAACAGCAGGGTGCAGGCATAACACATTAATGTAAACAAAACATAATTCCTCCTTACTCAACTGACTCTAAAATGTTAGTACGTTTGTTTTGTTGCAATACATTTAATAATGCAATATTTCTTCAAGTTTTGTTTTTTAAAAAGTAATGTATTTAATTCTTGTTTTTATCACTTCATTTTTGTAGTTTTAGTGAAACATTTCTTTTCATATAAAATGTCTTTATATATTTTATGTCAAGTAAGTTTTTATGATTGTATAACACATCTGGTACCAACACCGGCAGCCCCTCCTCACCGAACGAATATTAAAAATTATCTTTCATGTCCCGTTGAGGCTTTTTTTGTAATGTTTTTTTTTGTTTTTGGTTATTATTATATTATTATTACTTTTTGTATTTATTCAATTTTTTTATACCATTCATTGTATTTTTTTCATAATTCTTTATTATTATTATTTTAATGTATTTAGTAGATTTGTACTTTCTCTTTTTGTAATAACATGTTGTTGTATTATGTTTTTAGTTGAATGCTTCCTTATACTTCCAATTCACTAACTTTTACTAGGTAATGTTTTACTTTTTACTCCACTTTTATTTTTCAAATGTTGATAACAACTGGATTAGCTCATAAATAAGATGTTAAGTTTGTAGCAATAAACAGTTTAGTATACTTATATATAGAGAGATACATATATTGTATACTGTATATTACTTTGTGATAATGATTATTATGTAGGACCTACTTTCACTTATATTTGAATACAGGACCTCTACTTGCAAGAATATTTTTAACAGTTTGGTATTGCCACTTGGTCTCAATAAAATGTCCTGGATACTTCTTTCACCACAGGTATTTGGTTGCTGAAATCACATGCTTTTAAAACGTGTAGGCTCATAATGGCATAAATAACCCACTTTAATTTTTTTCGCAAGTATAGGATGTTGTTCCTCTGTTTATCACTGATCCACATTATATTGACCATCTTTATTGATGACAGTAACAAAGTGCACAAGCATAAAAACAACACAAAACACAACGGTATTTTTAAAACCCAAGAGAAAAACAGAGAATATAAAAAAAGAGATTATTAAACAATACTACTGCGGTACTCGTCATGATTCCATCATGCAGCAAACTAATACAGACTCTACGGGCAACCTGTGCCCTTAATCTCCCTGTACCATTAGTGTAGGGAAATGCAGTTGAGCAGTCCCTTTACAGTCCTATACAAAGTGCTAACCAAATGGAGAATAATGTGTGCCTGTGAATACGACTTTCTGACATCCAGAGAATGCTAAGTAGTCAGACATAAGCACAGAGAATATAAAATGTATATATATAGGACTAAATGCAAAAAGCTATCTCTAAAGCACCATCTTCGGTCAAACACATTGTGCAAATTCATTTTTTTTCAAATGTATTAAACAACAATGAGAAAATCAAATAAAAATCATACATTTATAAAACTGCACTTAGTAAACTGGACATAGTAAAAGTGATTCAAATCCAACATCAATTCCTCATATGGGGTCAAACAGCGTTCCAGAATTACATTTGCATAACAACGGCAATATCTCACAGCACAGTATAGCACTGCGTTCAAGGCAGTGTTGACATACCTGATGTCGGAGTTTTTAAAAAACACATACAAAAGCTATAAAACAATCACATGGGGAGTACATATTGTAATAAACCTGCATCAGCATATAAAACAAAATGTCAACATCAAACAGTATTATATCCAGTTGCATATGTTGCCTGTGCAGACGGTCCCGAGGTGCCTGTCTACAAAGCAGGACGCTGGTTATACAGGCTGGAAGGGGCATGTCTCCCACAGAAGCGTGCAGAGTTGCCAGAATAAAAACTTACAACAGTGTGCACTGCAGCCACCTCAAGTTGTGTGCGTTATTATGGCAATGTCCTTATGAGGCCAGATGTCATTACATGATTTAGCTAGTTGTGAGACTCTTTGGAAATGCTCAACAGCCGAGCCAGTCCTTTGTGATTTCACCCAACTTGACGATCTTCAAGCTGCTGTCTTCCAGTTTGAAATAGTGGTTGCCTTTGAAGAAGTAGCTGTAATCTGTTTGAAACAAGCACAACGTTGTTTAAAAGAAGAAGGTATGTAGCCTGTGTAAAACGAGGTCAAAGTAACCATGTAGTAACAGCAACATAATCAAGCTTTAGCATAACCATATAAACCAACAGTCTAATTACATGTAATCAAAGTTTAAAGCCTTACACTCTGTTAAAGCGAATGTTACGCCTCTCTCTCAGAATCATGCCAATGGCAGGCATACAGAGGACCCCCTTTAGAGCGGCACAGACTTGCTTTATAGTAATGTGTGTGTTCACTATGTGGGGAAGGGGCTACCTGATGCTTACGTTCATTTTTGTAAGTTGGGCTAGCAGTTACAGAAAAATCCTTGGTTTTCTGCCATAGTTAAAAATCTGTTTCTCACCTCTAACCTCAAGGATTCATGGCTGACTCCTAAAGGGAAGTTTAATAGTGATGTCATGACAATAATTGACCACCATAAACGGCTTGCATGCAAGTTGCAACGCCCTAAAGCTAACCATGATAATGTATTCACTGCAGCTCATTAATTCATGAAAGACATACAAAAACCTGCTCTCCCCCACACTGTTTTCTATCAGGCCATAGATGACTCCCTAACTTCAGAACTGCTCCCTTTTTTTACTTTGTCAGCTCCCTGAAACTGTTCTGTTCTGGCTTGATAACATAATTGCTGAGTTGTGGTATATAAGGGGTTTGTATTGACAGAGGCATATTGCCAGAATGTTGATAGAGCTGACTGGAATTCCCTGCAATCTAACCACAAGGAATGCTAGTGTGAAAAGTGTAGATTAGCACCCAGAGCACCAGCTTTAATCAAAGCACCACAAACACCACAAATAATTGTTCCCCTTCGGTCTTCTTCAAAACTCAAACAGAGTTTCAGGCCGAGAATGCCATTTGCAACTTTCTGTCTTTCTGAGAGGGATGTGTACTTTATTGTAGAACATATTTAATGTATAAAAGATGAGCATACCCTTGTGGTGTTCAGATTCTCACGAAACTATCTAATATATTATTCCAATAACTTGTATATAGACTCGTATTGCACTATTCCACTTTTGTTTTTCTCACTTTTTTTAAAAACTATTTTCCTTTTTGTATTACTTTTAATATAGTATATTTTAATATTGCTTTAATATTGTCTGCTTATCTGTATTATTGTGTTGTTGGAGAAGCCTGTGACCTAAGATTTTCAACGACATAATTACTCTGTAGCTATGTTAGTTTGACAATAAAGAACCTTGAACCTTGAACCTTGAACCTTGAAACGATATGGTTCATTTTTAGCCATGCTAGTGACATGTTCAGACTGGGCTTGAAACCAGTGCTGCTCGGAAGATACAGTTAGACATTTAAATGTATATGTATGGTGAACATAAGAAATTGGTTTCCAGTAATATTAAGTATGTAAACGACCATGCTTCAAAAACCTCAGTTACGGTTTTGGTCATGGATTCATAACACATGCTGCTAGCTTCTAGTCAAATGTCCCTTCATTAATTCATACCAAGCCTGTAGATTCACGAATGTTGGGATAATAAAAGTTTTTTTTACCAATGCCATTAAGACTGAAGGAAGAGTCGATGTCATCTGGGAGACCATTCCAAGAATCAGCAATAAGTTTTGGGAAGCCAGCGTCCATTGTCTTTGTATCTTCATTGTATCTGTACCCAAAATGAGAGTGGATTTACACAATAATCCTTCAAATTTGTGCAAATGACACACAAACACACCACACACAGAGCTGTTTACAGAGCAGCTGAGGCCACACAAATTGCTAACTACATCCAGACGTAAGTTTTGCAGCTAGAGATTATAACCACAACAGCTCAAGCTAGGGTGTGTCTGACAACGATTTGAGCCTAACACATTTTTAGATAATCTTTGCCCCTCCTCACCTCCAGAACTGGTCCCCAGCAAACATGTAAGTCTTCCTGTTCTTCTTGAAGCTGAACACAGAGTCAATTTTCTCCAGGTCAGTGGGAAGTCCGAAGCTCGAGAGCCTCTTGGGATAGCCTGACTGCAGCGCGTCTGCTTTGTAGACCCACACCTCATTACCTGTGAGGGAAGAGTGAGTAAGTGAAAAGCAGAACCAGGGATACACTAACACTGAAGACATGTGTTTTATTAAAACAAGGTAAGTATGTTAAAACAGAACGGTGTGATCACGGTAGTATCCCATATTGCTGCAAATATGTTATTAACCAAATGTATTATATCTTAGCATGAGATCATCATTTAGCCATGTAGGGTATTATGCATCTTCTACAGGCAAACCAGCCCTG